AGAAGAGCGCTGTAGGACGACCCGCCTTCCGAAGTACATGCTCTCAGGACAGGTTTGCTGTGACCAGCACAGAAGGCTCACCACAACCCAGTACTGTCTCCCTGGTACGACAGCAACAGCTCGCTTTGCCCATCCCAACCTTGACATTAATAATAACAACCGTTCCTCACCTTTTTGTGGACTTAACACACTGTGGTCCAAAGACAGGTTAAGTCTCATTCTAGTCAGTTGGTGAGCAGGTCATACCCAAGAGTAGCACCGCGAATGTCCTGTGTGGCCCTCAGAGGCAACCTGGATGACTGCAACCTGCTCCTACATACAGACATGTACTGCCCAGGTCAACTCATCTCTCCTCTTTGGTGTCAAAGTTCCCCCAGTCCAGTGGCGATGACCCTCTGCGCCAACCAGACTCACCGTGCTGACCCACCTGTGAGGTGGGGCTCTGTTTCCTAATCACAAGTGGATCTATCAGCTTCCACTACGTGGCCTAAAACCACAGACCTCAGAGTGGGAGATCTGCTTGGGCAAGAAGAAACCCTAACCAAGCTCAACAGGCCAGCCTCTAGAAAGCCAGGGGGTTGGCCCAGGTGGTCAGGGACAGGCAGGAAGTGGGGTGGAGCTGCCCCAGAAATGTGCCAGAAGGTCACTCTCTGTGGGGGCCAGGCCATATCATTCACCACTGTCTGATGGCTCCCTTTCTGGACACAGGGCCAACTGGTATTTTCCTTTCCTTTCTCCCTTCCCTTCCCTTCCCTTCCCTTCCCTTCCCTTCCCTTCCCTTCCCTTCCCTTCCCTTCCCTTCTTTCCTCCCTTTCCCTTTCCCTTTCCCTTTTCTCTCTCTTTCTTTCTTTGGCAGCCAGCAGAAAAAAAAATGCCATCACATACATGTGTCAGCGTCACCACCTTCAAAAGGTGCAAATGAGTGAAACAGTAGCCAGAGTTCCCAGGCCAGGTGGCAAACTGGCACCATAAAGGCACCCAGTGTCTCTTCTGCTGGTTCTCTGCACCCCCTGCCACACACATCTGGCCTCTGAGGGTCCCTGGGAAGCTACATGGCAACCAGACACTGCAAAGCCTTCTTTGCACTCCCGGCAGCAAGGGGAGGATGTGGCATGTGGTCATGCTCGTTCAGAGTGGTGGCTGCCCCTCCATGCAGTCCCCATGCTCAACAGAGGTCAGGCTTGCAGTTCAGGGCTGTCTGTCCTCATGGCATGACCAGTCTGAGCTATTGGTTCCGTGCTTTGCAAAGAAACCCTTAACGAGGAACCAGAGGGCAACCCGAGCACACAGAAACACAGATGTGGCTGACGTGAGCCTTTCTCACTCAAAGCAAATCGAGCAGGGCCACAGATGGGGCTGACCACCCGGGCTCGGGGGATCCCCTCATCTCCCTCCTTTGTCTGAGCATGTGGGGAATCCCATCAAAAGGCCAGAGTTCCAGGTCTGGGCCTTCCCCTTGCCCACTTCCTTGCAAGCTGACCCCTGCTGCAGCCACCACAGCCACAGGGGGCCTCAGAAGATTGGTGGTTCCTTCCTCCCTTCAGGGACTGCAAGGAGGGCATCTATGTCAGACGGGATTTACCCAGAGCCTGGAACCCTCTGGGTAGGCCCATTTCACTCTTCTGTTTGGCTTACTCTTGCAGGAGGATTAATAATAGTAATAATAATAATAATAGCAACAATAATAATTATAATAAACATGATTATAACCCTCTCTTGTGTTCCAGGTACTGTCCTAAATACTTTAGGCCCTTCAAGCACCCTGTGAGAGAGACACCATGATCCTCCCCACCGTAGAGGCCTGGAGAGGCTAAGCGAGGCCTAGAGAGGTCACACAGGTAGTAGAAGGCAAAGCAAGATTCAGACACAGGTGGTGTGACCTCCATAGCCTGTGTCCAACCACCACGTCAAGGAGGCAGGTACAGAATGAGGAAGAGTGAGCAAAAAGATCAGAGCAGCAAATCGACATGGCAAAGAAACACCTTAGCTGGTACTTTCTTGGTGTTCTAGGTTCAGGGGTCTGAGGTCTGGGGAGCAGTGGAGTAATATAAAGAAAGAGCAAAGTAAAAAACATGCAAACTTATAAGTGACATCTCTGTAGTCACAGCCAACGGGACAGGAATCATGACTGGAAGAGTTACAGCAGGTGAAGAATTTTGGTTTGAGTTTTCATGGTCTTCTCAGCAAGCTGAGCACTGCGTGTTTAAAAGTTTAAAAGTGGTAAATGAGATTTGACCATGTGGTCCTGGGAGGTAGACATGAACCGGAGGAAGCGAGCTACCTCCATTCCCGAGTGTCCTGGTCTGTCACTTGGGCTCCTGATTGGAAATGAGACACGGCAACCAAACACAGTATCCTGGTTTCACTGGGTAGGAGTTGTGCATGCTTTCTGACCAATCCCAAAAGGCCAGGGGGTGTAACTGGGTTGGAAAGACGTGGAAGTGATTACCCTGACATCTAAGATGGGGAAGTGGGAAAGAAGCATGGGGGCAAAAGAGGAAAGCAGATCTTGTAGACATCCTCCCTGTCCAGCCTGGTTCCGGTTTCTTCCAAGAAGCCTTCCATATCAGCCTGCCCTTGAGCAAAGCTCTCTCTTTGCACTTCTAGAGCACCTGTTGATGTGCAATGTGCTCAGCACGACACCACCGCTCACCTTTAGCTATTTGCCTGAAGCTGGTGTTGAAAAATTTAAGAGCACAGTTGGCCCTCGGGTTTCTAAATGGACTGTAGGTAGCTAGGGCCTGGGCAGGCAGACCTGTGAATCCGGCTGATGGCCAACCATGCCCCTGCTAAGCATGCCTGAGAAAGCGTCCAGGTTCTTGGAGAGCGGGAGGCGCCCTACACAATCCCCCCTGCAGTCATTGGAGGGCGCTGTCTATTGGTTTCGGAAACCTATAACCTATAACCCTCCTCCTTCGTTGAGATCCCTCCATGCTCTTCCCCGCTGGACACTGCAGGACAGAGGTTGATGGCGTTTGCCGTCTAACCCCACACGCGCTTCCCCTCTGGCCTCCCAGGGGGTCACCAGCATCCGAGTCCTCCGCTCCTGCCCGCGCACACGCCTGGACTACATTTCCCAGTCTCCCCCGCAGCTGGGCGTGGCCACACGGCAGGGCTCGAGCCAATGGCATGCAAGCATGGGCGACACGCTCACTTCCGGGCAGGCCGCGGTGAGACCCGCCCTCAGACTTCCGGCCTGCCGTCGGCCGGCCTCCCGCCCCTCGGAGGCGGGCGTCCCCCGCTCGCCGCTGGGCGCCTGCGTCGGCCGGGCCGGGGGGACTCCGTGCCGCCGAGGGCCGAGGGCCGAGGGCCGAGGGGCCCGCACGGGAGCGGGGCGCAGCCCCCTCTGGGCTCAAGCCCTGGCGCTGTTTCGCTGTGGCAGCCGGCCCGTGGTCCCGCTCCAGCTCGCTCCGCGCGGCCCTCCACGCCGGGGCGCCGGCGCCGGCGCCGTTACTGCTCCTCGTCCCCTCCCCGGGGCGAGCTCGGGCGCAGGGCGGGGCCGCGCCGCGTCCGACCGCTCCTGGCGGAGGGGAGAGGCTCGGGGGCGAGCTGCACGCGCGATGCCAGCGGGAAGCCGCCTGATCCGTCTGCGCCGCAGGGTCTCCTCCAGCTCGGGGGCTGGAGGCCCCTCCTCGGCGCCCTCCCGGGGGCCTGCCTGCCTGCTCGGCGTGGCCTGCGACCCTCGAGCCCAGGGCTTCACCTGCGCATCCCCCCGGGGTCGGGCACAGGAGCTTCCTGAGAAACAGGTGCCCCCGAGTATTTGATAAAAGTGTCTGAAGCATCTAAGACATTTGTATCATGTTATATGAATGCATGATACTTATGGAATGCTGATGCGTATCTTGTGGTCTTCTTGGACTCTTCGCTCCATTCTTTTTGAAGATTTTATCTATGTATTCATGAGAGACGCAGAGAGAGGCAGAGACGCCTTCATGAGAGAGGCAGAGGGAGGAGCAGGCTCGTGCACGGAGCCCCATGTGGGGCCTGATCCCGGGTCTCCAGGGCTCCAGGGTCGCGCCTGGGCCGAAGGCAGACGCCCAACCTCTGAGCCACCCAGGTGTCCCCGCTCTACTTCTTTTTTTTTTTTTTTTTAATTTTTTTTTTATTTATTTATGATAGTCACAGAGAGAGAGAGAGAGAGAGGCAGAGACACAGGCAGAGGGAGAAGCAGGCTCCATGCACCGGAAGCCCGACGTGGGATTCGATCCCGGGACTCCAGGATCGCGCCCTGGGCCAAAGGCAGGCGCCAACCGCTGCGCCACCCAGGGATCCCTCCCCGCTCTACTTCTAACTAAGGATAGAAAGCTCCGCACAACCCCATGGGCTTATCAGAGGGCCTAAGCTGATGCCCGGAACGGTCTGTAGGTTCTTCTAACTTCTAGGCTTCTTGGATCTTAACACCTTAATACCCATTAGAGGCCTGGACCCTTTCATTGTGCATCAGTACAAATCGGCCCTTGACCGGAGGCCTCACAACATTTTCCCACCAGTGCCCAGGCCTGCTCCTGGCGGCCCTATGCACACCCAGGGTTTCTGTCTTCCAAAGCGCTTGCCCGTTTGACCTTTGCAAAGGCCCCGTGACTCAGGCAGGACAGTGATAGTCACTATGTGCACGTAACCCACAAGAAAAGAGGCTCAGGGAGGGTGACCAACTTGTGTTTGCGTGTGTGCTGGGCTGTCTCTAGGACCAAGGACCCAGACAATGCCTCTCGTTCCCCCCCTTTCTCCAGCCTGAGCTAACAAGAAGACACCTCACAGAGACCAACAGGAAGCCAGGCCAACACGCCGGGACATGGGGGGTGATGGAAGCTCGCACCGACTCGACTGGTAAACTGAGTTTACAACAGACCTGGCCAGATAGCTTCAGGGGGCTGAACATTTGTCCCTCTTCTAATTTTAAACCCCTCTGGCCTGATGGGAGTGTCTGTGGTTACAGGGTGTAGCAGCTGCTGCTGCTGCTACTGTGTGGTCAGGGCCACCACAGGAAGACAGGTACTTACTTGATTTTTCTTCTTTAACCGCATATTCGAGCACTTTGGACGAGCTCTCATTCGGGGAAGGGAAGTGGACACAGAGCACCAGATGCTTCAAGCTGCTATCCTGACAGACCAGGAATGTCTGCAACGGAAGAAGGGCGGGGGAGCTCCATGAACCAAAGATTTGGGTGAAGGTTAGAAAGACAGCAGTGGGTTGGAAGTCATCCAGAACGTTCCAGAAACAAGGAGGCAGGGTGGGGAACGGGATTCTGCCTAAGAGCCCTGTGTCACCTGGCCCATGTCCTCCCTGGCTCCTGAGTCCCAGTTTCTCAGCTGGCCACAGAGGGGTCCACCTAAATCAATGTTTCCCAAAGAATTCTGTGTTGCAGACACAGAGTTTGGAGGGGGTGTTTAAAACAGGTTCCTGGGCCCCACCCCTGGGATGCTGGCTGGGTTGGTGGGGCCCCAGGATCAGGGGATTCTGATACGGGCGGTGGTCCTGCCTCTGCTCTTAGAAAAGCTCTAAGGCACAGGGAGTCATGTTGATTTTCCACTCGCACCCCAGCACGTGTGCTTACCTCCACCCTCGTCCCAAACTGGGATCTAAGCCTCTCCCACTCAGGCCCCTAGTGCCTGGCCAGAGCTTGGAAAACCGGGAGTCCGCCCAAACTTCTGAGGTGAGGCTGGGGAGCCACTAGGGCAGCCCCACCGATGTGGCCCGGGCATGAGAGGCTCTGGAGAAGCACCGCGGTGGCCCTCGGTCCCCCCCCGCCCCCCCATGGCACACTGCCCTCCCAGTGATGCTTCCTGTTCTCTGCCATTGTTCCTGAGGACTGTTATTATCACGTGGCTACATTATTAGAATTGTTAATACAACATAATAACATTATTGCCTCCCTTGTCTGCCTCCTGCCTTAACCCTGGGTGATGATAGATCCCATGATCTCACGTAGTTCTTTTATGAAAGCTATGGGGGGGATATTCTTATTATCCCCATTTTATACGTAGAGAGAGGCAGTAACACCCAAGGCCACTAGGCTAGTTAGTAAGTGCTGGGGCTGGGATTTGAGCTCAGGCCCTGTGACCCGGATCCGGGCCCTCCATCACCCCCAGACCCTCTGTGCTCTGCTCAGCCCTGAAAGACCACATCTTCTTGGAGCGCAGTGACATCTTGAGCTCATTGGTCACTGAGCTGTGGTTGAAAGTTTACAGCCCCCCACTCCTGGAGCAGGGCAGGGTGGAGAGGGTGTGAGAACCTGGAGCAGATGGGTGGACGAGGGAGGATGGGAGGGAGCACGGGGCAAAGGGGGGGTAGGTTTCTGGGGGTGGAAATGCAGGTGCAATGCTGCCTACAAATACATCCCCAACTGGAAGGTGGTCCTCCCTAGGGGACCCGACAGGAGGCCAGCTCACCTCTAGAAGCCTCCTTGGCCCCTGCCCACAGAGAGGATGCCCGAGGCCTCGGCCCAGCTGGCCCTACCCCAAGCTGTGGCCATCACTGAACTGACACGTTCACCCGAACCTGGTCTGACCCCAGGAACATGCTGTCCTCCAAAGGAAAAGAGGTCACCTGGCCTCCCTCGGAGGTGCAAGGTCAGGCTGCCTGCTGCCCACCAGGCCCCTGGGAACCAGCAGCATGTGAGGCCAGGAGAGGGCGCATCTGGGCATGGGGGGGTGAGTGCGGTGTCATGAAAAGATGTGGTCTTTGTCCCCGGTTCCTGGCACAGAGCTTCAGAAACCCTTGGTATTTCCTGAGCGATAAGTGTTTTTTATTATTTATAATGAGTTGCTTTAGACCATATCTGGGTTCATGCTGCTATGATTCATGGGGGGTGGCCACAGCAAAGGGGGGACCGGGAACACACAAGAGGGTTGGACTGCCAGCTCCACCTCGGCCTTGGGGCCGGGAGAGCCATGCAAGTGGGATGCCACCATGTAGGTCTGCTGCATCAGGAGGGGGCCTCAGTGGAAGCTGGGGCTCAGCGTGCTTGGAGATGCCTGGGTGCTGAGCCCCTGGAGGTGCCTGCACTCCACAGTGCAGGATGTGGGGGCCTGCTCCCCTCGCCGCCGGATCCCCTCAGCCCCCCTATTTGTCAGCTCTGTGGCTCGGTCCTTCAGAATAACGGGGTCGGCAGATCTGCGGTCCCACCTGGAACTCTGGGAGCAGGGCGTGGGGGAGGCCTGACCCGGAGCCAGTGGCGTCCCAGGAAGGCCAACAGAGCAGACCCAGACCCCTGATCCTGAGCCAGGATGGGCGCTGAGGCCAGTGCTCCAAACTGCAACCAAAATTGGGCGGTTTCTGCCTTTGTAGGGAAAGCGCCCCCGTTACACGTTGTGGTGCGTGGGGGGGGCCACGTGCCCGGGCGGGTCCCAGTGCAGAGGTCCTCAAGTGGCCCAGAGCTGCCTTTCTCCATTCTCCGGTGTCAGGAATGGCAGTTTTCAAACTACAGGTCATGACCCATGAATGCGAATGCCTCGACTAGGTTTATTCTTTCAGACTAAAACGTAAGAGAACAGAAGAGAAGAAGGATGCCTACGGGACGGACGGACGGACTCTGTCAGAGAGGAAAGGGGAGGGAGACAGAGACCTACAAAGGGCCTGGGCCCCAGTCTAATAGGTAAGTGTCTTATTTCTTACTCCACTGGCGGGGCCTCCTCCCTCCACCGTCGGAGCCGCACTGCTCTCCCCGACGGGCAGCGATGAGCACTCACTGGCCCGGGCAGGGGCCTCCTGGACGCCGTCCTGCAAACTGCTGGGCTCTCTCACAGCCCCACGAGCTGATTTCTGGGTTTCCTCACTCTGCTGACATGTCGGCCCTCGCGTGCCGCTGAGAGAAAGGAGAAGAGGCGGGAGCCTGCGGGCAGGGCCCTCTCCAGCTGGCAGGACCTGTGGCCTGTCACAACTTGTATTTCTCTCGGGCTCCCAGAGGGCCCTGGGCAGCCAGCTGGGAGCTCGTCGGTCGGCCCTGGGTCACTGTGGGGCCTCCCTGAGCCTTCTGCTCTCATTTGTCACCAGACCACCCAGCAGACACAAGAAAGGAAGTAATTGCAACACCACAGGAAGCCCCTGTGGATAATCAGGTCCAAACAGATGCCCCCTCAAGAATCATTCTCCATGTGCCCCCGACCCCCCACAGCCGGGGTGTCTGTCAGTCTCCGGGTCTCAGGTTCCATGGGGACCTGGGGGTCAGTGTGCCACACGCATGGGGTTACCGGGGATCTCCTGGGCAGTGGTTCAACGATGGGAGGAGCTGGGACAGAACAGTGCCTCACACCTGTGCTCTCTGTGGCCTCCCGCCCTCCCACCACCTCCCTCCTCACTCTCCATCCTTGACAGGTGAAGACGCAGGGCATGGGGAGGCTAGATCACCCAGGGCCGTGCACATGGGACATGGGCCCGGGTGCCACTGCGAGCAACTCGCTCCTGTACCGCCGTCATGTCTGTGTCATCTACTCACTGGGGGGCAGGGGTGTACACGGGGGGAGGGAAGCCCACCAGGCAGGGTGCTGACAGGTGCCTGGCCCCGCCTAACCCCTGTCCCGTGGCCACAGAGCCACCCGGAGCACTTCCTTGTGCTATGGCCAAGGCCTGGGGCTCTTACCTGCAAAGCAAGATAAGGCACTGGGGGGATGAGGGGGTGCAGTGAGGGGAGGCTGAGAGCTAGTGGGGGCAGGTGGAAGCTGGAGGAGACCCCTGATCCCACCTGCCCACGTCGTGGGGGGAAGGGGGTGCTGACCCCCAACGGTCTTCCCGGCCACAGTCCTTTGGAACAAGTGGGTCAGTTCTCTGTTCCCCTGGGGGAGGGTTAGCTGCCCAGCCAGTCACACAGTCACATTTGGGAAACATCCGCCCTCAGCACCCCAGACGCGGTGTCACTGTGCAGCAAAGAGGACTAATGCAGTGACCCGCGGGCCTTCTCGTCATGGCGAATCACCTCTGCTTCACTTGACAGTCCAGCCCGAGTGCATCCAGGACAAGACCACCTGTATGACTTGCCGGTGAGACCCTCACCCCCCCACCCATGTGACCTGCCCGTGAGCCCCTCGCCCCCCGTGTGACCTGCCCGTGAGCCCCTCGCCCCCTGTGTGACCTGCCCATGGGCCCCTTGCCCCCACTCCCAGAGGCCATGGCTCATCACCTAAGGAGAGGCGGGGCCTGATGGGGGTGGCAAGGGGCTGCAGGGGAGCTTGGCTCCTACACCCTTGGGGGATTCCGTGTACCAGTTCCTCGAGCCACCTTGACTTCTCTTTCTCCCTCGTGCAGCTGTAGCTTTTGGGAGCTGCAGCGGGACCCAAATCCCAGCTCCGCTACACTCCAGCCGTGGACCATGGACAAGCAGCCTTTCGTTCTCCAAGTCTCAATCTCCTCGTGTGAGCATGAGTGTGATAATATCCACCTCCCAGAGCTGCCTGTGAGAACTGCTGACTGTGTACGGAAAGCACCTCATGCCAAGTGTGCCTTGAATAACAAACACTGATAATCTTTATTGTTCCAGTAGACTGCTACCATCTACTGAGCACAAAGCCACAGGCTAACATGTTTATAGGCGTTATCTCATTTGGCAGATAATTATTAGTGAGGTGATTATCATGTATCTTTCCCCCAAGTCAGAGATAGGAAAGAGGGACTCACAGGCTGTTCCGCTAGGTGCTAGATTAAAAATGGCCACAAATCCTTTGCAGCATCTCTTATCCAACTTCCCCAGCCCTGGATGGGGTGGCCTTCAGTCTTGTTTCCACCAAAAGAAAGTGGCAGACATAACCCTGTGGGGTTGCAAGCCTAGGCTTTGAGGCGGGTCAGCTCCCCTGAGTGCTCCAGGCCAGTTTTGGGACCATGGGTGTCACGTGAGGCCACCAGAGTGAGTCTGCTGGGGTCACGTGGCACAGCCCCAAGGGCAGGCAGCCCCGCGAGCTGCCAGTGGACTGTGGCTGTGCGGCTGACCCCAGTGAGACCAGCAGTGGAACTGCTCAGCAGAACTCAGCCCCAGCTGCTAACCCACGGAGTTGCAAGCACATCCAATGGTGACCATTTGAAGCCACTGAATTTTGAAGTGATTTGTTATGCACAGTAGCTGATGATATAGCCATCAGGATGGACGTGGGCCTGATCCTTTGGGGACCCCCCGTCCTTCTATGAGGTGC